TGACCTTAATGGCGGAACGACCAGGAATGACCAATTGCTATGACGTGCACTGACCACTAGGGGGAAGATGCTCAATGCAGAAGCTTCCCCCTGGTGATCAGTGAGTTTCCACAGGGGGAGCGCCACTCAGCCAGAAGCCAGCTCATGGCTGGCCAGCGCAGTGGTGATGGCAGGATCCTCTCCCACCTATGTGGTAGATCTAAGGATGTCTGACTAACAGCTTAGACCTGCTCCCTGTGGAAGAGGCCCTAAGCCATTAGTCTGACATCCCCCGAGGACTTCTGGGCTGCCAGAGGCCCATTCCCCTGGGGAGTGGGCTTAAGCTGGTAGGTGGAAATCCCCTGAGGGGTTCCAGATTGCGAGAGGGTGCAGATCGGGCTGAGGGACCCCCCCCCCCATGCATGAATTTTCATGCACAAGGCCTCTAGTATAGTTATAATAGTAGCACAGTGACAATTAGGCTAAGCATAGTTTACTAATTATTTGATAATTCAGAAAACATTTTAGCATGTTGCTATGAATCAGGAGGAAATTTTGTAACATAAAATAGTTGTGTGGGTGGAAGTGGACCTGGGAAAATTTTGCATGTTGGTGCCAGTATGGATAAAAATGTGGAAGTCCTTTAGATAGCTCTGTGGAAAGCATATTATAAATTAATTAGAGGCCTGATGCACAAAATTCTTGCAAGGAACTAGGCCCCTGCCGCCATGGGGGCCAAAGCAGAGACAGCTGCGGCAGCAGACAGGGTCCTCTGCCGCCTCTGCCTCGGCCCTCACCCAGTGCAGTGGTTGCCTTTGTCTTGACCTCCACCACCATGGCTTCTTCCAGAAGGTCATCCAGAAGGACGTCTGGTCTAACTAGCATATTATGCTTTTATTATTATATATTGAAAATGCACTGAATTATAGAATTAAAGTATGAAATATGTATACCATATACCATTGCAATTACAGGAATCATTAGACGTGAGGTTCTTAGCAAGCTAATAGGGCCTATTATCTCAAACTAGAGGTCTGGCGCACAAAATTCATGCACAGGTGGGGGATGTCCCTCAGCCCAGCCTGTGCCCTCTCACAATTCTGGACCCTTTGGGTAGGGTTCCTAGGCCTGGCTGGTGATCAGGGCCTATCAGGGCTTTCCTTCCCCCAACTGCTGGAAACTGGCCCCGCCCCTGTCACTGCCACTGCTTGCCATCTGTGTGATGCTGCCCCCTCTGCCACTGCCATTGGTCACTTCCCTCTGTGGATGACAGGTGTGGGTGTGATCGCTTGGCTGGCATGGGCATCCCTCTGTGGGGTGATCATGGGGCGATGGCGAGGCCCCCCGACCAATCGCATTACATGAGCCTTGGTTGGCCTGGTGCCAGTGTATGTATAGTGTGGTCATTTGGAAGGTCGTTCAGATGGCCATTCTGTTGTTTGGTCGATTTGCATATTATGCTTTTATTATTATAGATATGTATAACTAGAAATAATATGAGACCAAACTGCTACAATTTTATTAAGTTGATGTTTTAAACATGGAGTTACACATAATTATTCTTAAAATTCTTAATTCAGATTTGAATTTGAGATAACGCATTCCATCCCATCCTACATCCCTCCTTCCTTTTCCTTAACCAACATATATTTAGCTCCTATTACATAAAAGACAAGGTCTATTGAAATTTCATTTGAACATAAATACTAGATAATAATACATGAATGACAAAAATAGTCTTAAGTCCACAGTTCCTGGAAGCCCTGGACGTCACAATGAATTCATAGGAGCACTTGCAGGGCATTTTGTATTTTTTAGGGAAACAACAATATCTGTGAAGCTACCACACAAACTCTTAGCTGGAGTTAGTTTTAAGTTTCAACATTAGGTAGCACTGTATTCTTGACATCTTAACTTTGTGAAAAACAAATCACAACAAAAAAAACAAGTACTGCATTAATGTTTAATGTGGAAAAGGAAATGCAGGTGGTGGCATCAGATAGGACTTCCAGGATTAAAAAGCTGTGAAATGCCCAACAGGTGCACATCCATTTAGCAACTGTGGTTATTTGAAAAATAAAATAAAAATATTATTTTCCTTTCAATGTGTAGTATATTTTCAAACATCTATGAAGTTGTTAACACTTAAATATTAATTAAGGTATTTAGACCTAAGTACTTAATAAATAGAATTTTAGGTGTTTCTCTTTGGCCAGGGGCACCATGAAAATAATTCTTGAGACATTAAGGGCAGCATGAATTGAAAAAATTTGGGAACCTCTGCTTTAACTGGTGATCATTTTAGAAACTCATTAGCCTTATCATACTTTTACAAATACAGCCAGTTTTCATTATTTTTCAGATAAATACATTGAACCTTGAGAGTTTGATAAATTACACAGTTTATGCTGATTTACTCCCTCAGACTGTCCTATATAATAAAAGCATAGAATGCAAATTGTCCCCTCGACTGGGACTTCATCCAGGAATTCATCTGGGGGAAGGGAGGGAGGCCCTGGCTGGTGGTGGCGGCAGTGGTGGCAGGTGACGAAGGGAAGGGACGGAGTTCCAGCCAGCAGCTGGCAGCCGGCAGCCGCTAGCGACCCTACCAGTGCATGAAGTTTGTGCACTGGGTCTCTAGTTCTTGTATATCTTCTGAATTCATATAATTTCCCATTTGTTTGCTTTGTAAATCATCAGAGAAATATGAGTTGTATGGGAATAGACTATGCATGTGGGCACACTGTTTGTGGAGCCATCTACACTAATAAAAGAGAAACATGGTAATTGGCATACGACCGCTACCCTTCCCATTGACTAATCAGCGAGATATGCAAATTAACTGGCAGCCAAGATGGCGGCCGGCAGCCAGGCAGCTGATGAGAACAGGGAGGCTTGCTTGCTTCAGTGACGGAGGACTCCAACGTTCCCAGCGGGGCTTCAGCCAGCCAGACCACAACATTGTATCAAATACTGACTGTAAACAAAGGCCAGAAACCTGTTTTCAGCAGCGAGGCCTCAGAGCTATAGCTGGCCCAGAATAAAAAAAAAAAAAAAGAAAGAAAAAAACGAGCGGTTGGGAGCTTCAGTCCCAGCCTGAAAACAGCCCTCAGCCCCTCACCCAGATTGGCCAGGCCCCCCAGTGGGGACCCCCACCCTGATCCAGGACACCCTTCAGGGCAAACCAGCCGGCACCCACCCGTGCACCAGGCTTCTACCCTATATAGTAAAAGGGTAATATGCCTCCCGGCACCGGGATCAGCATGACAGGAGGCAGCGCCCAAACCCCCTGATCGCCCTGCGGCTATGTGTGAGACAGGGGGCGGGGCCCCAACCCCTCCGCCCGCCACGGGCCCTGCTCTGTGTGTGACAGGGTAGAGCCATAACCTCCCCATCTGCCCTGCCCTGAGTGTCACAGTGGCGGTGCCCCAACTCCCCTATCGGCCCTACTCTGTGAGTGAAAGCGGGGAGCGCCCCCACCCCCTGATGGGCCCTGCTCTGTGCGTGACAGGGTATGGAGGCCCAACCCCCCTGATGGGTCCTGCTCTATGCATGACAGGGGGTGGCACCGCCACCTCCCCATCAACCCTGCCTTGAGTGTGACAGGGGGCGGTGTCCCAACCCCCCAATCGGCCCTACCCTGAGCGTGACTGAGGGTGGCATCGCAACCTCCCAATCTGCCCTGCTCTGTGCATGACAGGGGAAGGCGCCCCAACTCCCCAATCGGCCCTGCTCTGAGCCCAACCAGGGGCTGCACCTAGGGATTGGGCCTGCCCTCTGCCACCCGGGAGCAGGCCTAAGCCAGCAGGTCGTTATCTCCTGAGGGGTCCCAGACTGCGAGAGGGCACAGGCCGGGCTGAGGGACCCTCCCTTCCCCCAAGTGCACAAATTTTTGTGCACCGGGCCTCTAGTTATTATATAAGGTTTAAGTCAAATACCTATTAGGTAATATCAGACTATTGGGCTTCTTAGCATGGAGTAGATTTTCTATGTTGTTTACAAGATATTTTGACTTATTTTGAATGTAGGTTCACATTTTTGGTATTGTTAACTTGTAAAATACCCATTTGAAACCATATTATTCAAATAGGTGCTTTCATATTGTTTATCCTGAGTAATTACATATCTGCTCTATTATAGAATTTTTAATATTACTAATATCTATTATTGAAATATTTTAAAAATTTATCTAAGAGGGATAAACCATAGATATTTTAAATTATTTAAACATTTTATTATTTATTCTAAATTATTTTAAATGTATTAGTTGATATTGAATTTTTAAAGTAATGAGTTAAAAGAGCTTATGTTTGTTATGGTTTACTTAATTGTTAGGAGGATATCACTGGCCACTCCTCGACAACTTTATAAATCTTCCAACATGACTCAGCGATGGCAAAGACGGGAAATTTCAAACTTTGAGTATTTGATGTTTCTTAATACAATAGCAGGTAAGACATCTCATTCTTTAATCTCATAATCTGTTTATATTCATCAAAATCATGGGTAATGTGACTTTATGGAATACGTTTTCCTCTTTGGAATTCAAATGCAGCATTAGACTAAATATTGAAGCACTCACATGAAATGTTATCCGAAATTATACAAGCCAGTACCAAGGTTTTAGATGCATTTATTGTTGAAGAAGCTTTTCCCTGCTGTCCTCTGCTATTTTCTTTGCTGACAGATTTGTCTGAAGCTTTATTAGAGTCAACAAACCATTGCCAGAGAGTGACTGGAAATAATAATGGGAAGATGTAATTTCACTGTTTTGTCATTTTCAGCAATAGTAGATACACAGGAGAATAACAACAGGATTCTTCCTAGTACAGATGTCATCTGGATTATGACATGATAGGGTCACAGCATTTTTTTTTTATTTTACTTAAAATCTTCAAATAAAAATATAAAATCAGATTACATTTCTAAATGATGAGTGACTGCCATCAACCTTGGTAGTACCATGCTTATAAATTAAAAGAGGGTAGTGGTTCTATTTTCTGCTAAATCAGTGGTTGTCAGTGGTTAAACATCTCTATGAGATTTAAGTACCTTTTTCTTTTTTTAAAAAAAATATATTTTATTGATTTTTTTACAGAGAGAAAGGGAGAGGGATTGAGAGTTAGAAACATCAATGAGAGAGAAACATCAATCAGCTGCCTCCTGCACACCCCTCACTGGGGATGTGCCCACAACCAAGGTACATGCCCTTGACCAGAATCAAACCTGGGACTCCTCATTCCACAGGCCAATGCTCTATCCACTGAGCCAAACTGGTTAGGACAGTACCTCTTTCTTTTTTCCTAAAGTTAAGCCTCAAAAAGCCCTTATTCAGGTTGAATTACAGTTTACTTTTGTACATCAGGTGCTACCAAACTTTTTGCAATCAAATGAATTTAAATAATTACATTATTATTGTTCTGTTATAAATGCATGGTCAGAACCATGCATATAGAGCTGTGTTCTCCGAATTACCACTTAAAAGGATTACTGTGTATTATTATTCTTTACTTGAGGCCTGGTGAACAAAAATTTGTGCACTGGGGGGGTTGAGGGGGGAGTGTCCCTCAGCCGGACCTGTGCCCTCTTATAGTCTGGGACCCCTTGGGAGATAACCACCTGCTGGCTTAGGCCAGCTCCCTGGGTGGCAGATGGCAGGACCAGATCCCGCTCTGGGTTGCAGATGGCAGGCCCTCTGCCGTGCCGCCCTGCCCCGCTGCCTACCGAACAGGCAGACCTAGCAGGCGGTGGGACTGGGTGGGGCACGGGGCAGGTGGAACATGATCCACCGTGCCCTGCCGCCTGCCAGGCTGCACACACAGATGGCAGGCCCAGTGGGCGGTGGTGTGGGGCGGGCCGCTGGGCCATGCACACGGACTGCAGGCCCTGCCAGCCACCAGTTGTGCACACAGACTGTAGGCCCCTTCGGCTGCTGGGCCACACCCATGACTGCAGGCCCGGTGGGTGGCAGGGCGGGGCGAGACATGGTGGATGGCGATTCTTCCGCCCTGCCCTGCCGCCCGCTGGGTTGCGCATGTGGACAGCAGGCCCAGCAGGCGGTGGATGGTGGCAGGGTGGGCAGATCACACAGTCCCGCCCTGCCTGCAGTATGCAAATTAGTCACCATCTTTGTTGGCAGTTGATTTGCATATCACACTGATTAGCCAGTGGGTGTGTAGCGAAGGTACAGTCAATTACCATGTTTGTCTATTATTAGATAGGATAAATCTATCATCTATATGTGAATATAAATACTAAAGGTATATATTGAATATGAATGATAGATATGTATTAAATAGATAAGCAAAAGTACTCAATTTGTCAACCAAAAGGGATAAAGAAGTTTGAAATGTTTTGCATTCTAATAATTTAATAAATATTGTAATGTTTACAATAAGATACTAGTGGTAGAGCCAAAGGATTATTTTATTAAACATATTAAATTTCATTGTATATTTCATATACACATGCCCATTATATACATGTCTTCTGATATCTTCATGATATATTATCTATATATGTATTCATATATTAGTTCACATAATATATCTTAAACCTATTTACTAGTTCAAAGATAAAAAGAAAGTGTTACGCTAGTTATTAGCACATATTATTTACATATATAGATAGAATAAACTTAAATATCCAAAATGTAAAGAACTTAATTTCATTAGCATTTTTAGGTATACAGCATGATGTAATAGAGAGCATAAGCTTCAATGCCAAAGGAAAGAGGGGTAGAATTTCAGAGCTACCAACTTTTGTGTATTATGGGTGGGACTTCAAGGTTTATCTTCGACTTTTAATCTTTCAGTAGTCATATTTATTATGTTTGCATCTATTGTAATAAGTGATATGTTTGATCTTTTATCATCATCTTGTTTTTTTAAAAATATTTTATTGATTTTTTTTACAGAGAGGAAGGGAGAGAGATAGAGAGTTAGAAACATCGATGAGAGAGAAACATCGATCAGCTGCCTCCTGCACATCCCCCACTGGGGATGTGCGCGCAACCCAGGTACATGCCCCTGACCGGAATCGAACCCGGGGCCCTTGAGTCCGCAGGCCGACCGCCTATCCACTGAGCCAAACCGGTTTCGGCATCTTGTTTTTAATGTTTTCTTGCCCTTTTTTGCCCATTTTTTTAGTGACTTAGAATGTAGGCATCTTATAATTAATTATCCTAGAGATATGTTTAAATTTTTTAAAACCCTTTAAAATATATTTCATTTTTTAATTAAAAAATTAGTCAACATTTTAAATCACTCTATCTAAGATAAAAATTTTAACTCAATTTCCTTCTCATTCATTGCTTATTTTTTTCAATATTATTTACTACCCAGAATCCATGTTATTATTAAACTCTTGTTTACTAAAGTTCATATATTTTTCCATAAAGAAGGACTTCAGACTATCAAAATGTTCTTGTCAGCTACATGGATCTTTACCTGACTTTTCAGCATAAAGTGCTTCTTCCATTCTTCAGCAGTTATTTTTCCATATTCCTTGTGTTAGGATTTTTGTTACCTATTCTTGAAAGATCTATCAAGATTCATTGTCTACCTTATGTCTTAGATGAGCTTATGATTTTTTTCATTGGCTGTGCTAGCTATTTGTAACTGTTGGATAAAACTGGACAGAGTAATAAATATCATGCCCAACTCAGTTTCCAGTTGAACTGGCATTTTTATTAAATAATTCTGCTATTCTAAGATGGGATTCTCTCTATCTCTCTAGATGGGATGTTATCTAGTTTACTGCTAAAGGACTCTTCTAGATTCCATCCCTTCCCACTACATTTTACCGGTGTCAGATATATTTCTCACAATATGGTACAGTACCACACCTATAACCACCATTCACTTCATTCTCTGTCCAGCTCTAGAAATATTGTGGTTTGAATAGAGATAACACTGTGATCCCTTCTGTAGCTGCACCTGAGTAGTATAGACTTTTTTTCTGGTTGGTAAGGTCTTTGGGTTTTAAGCCAGAGCATGATCATGAGGGAAATTTAAGTGTCTTCTTAATCTCTTTTGAATCATTGGATCTGTTTTATTTGATGACAAAAAATTTATAGGCTACTGAATTATTTTTAAAGAATATGTTGGGCATTTTCTTTACAATAATTATAACTAAACATTAAAGCCTGTCTATTGTATAGAGGGAGTTAAGATGAAGTATAAAATAGCTATAGGAACTCTGAGCACTTACAACTTGGTGGGAAATGAAGTGAACATAAATAAGAGAGCATTTTAAGACAGCTGTATTAAGTATTGAAAAGCATTATAAAGAGTAAGTACTACAAAAGCTAAGCAGAGTGGAGGAATTTAAAAAAATGTGTTTGGGGAGAAAAAAGGCAGAGCTTTACAAATTTCTGCCAACTGAATATGTGCGAGGCATTCAATGGACATGAATATCACATTTTGGCTAAAAACAAAGAATAATGGGAGATAATATCTATCTATCTATATAAAAGCCTAGCGACAGAACAGCAGAACGACCCGAATGACTGGTGGCTATGACATGCACTGTGACAGCCAACCAGCCTGATATGGGTCCCGATCAGACCCCCCCACAGCTGGCCTGGCCCCCGATCGGCCCCCTAACTCCCCGATCAGGGGTGGCTGGAAGGCCAACCACCTGCTGCCCCTCCCCCTGTCTGCCTCGCCCCTAATATGCCCCCATTAGGGTGGGCTGGCTGTATCT